CTTTCTTATGCTATAAGGAAATGCTATTACACTTATCCATTATGCTTTTAGGTCATTTTATAACAAATTCATAAAATAATTATCGAATAAATTTGTTTAAAATGATATTTAATTTCTCATTATAATGACTTCTTTTAAAATGAGTGTATTATGTTTTTAAATTTGTTTAAAATGATATTTAATTTCTCATTATAATGACTTCTTTTAAAATGAGTGTATTATGTTTTTAAATTTGTTTAAAATGATATTTAATTTCTCATTATAATGACTTCTATTAAAATGAGTGTATTATGTTTTAAAATTGAGTGAACTTAGTCAGATTTTTATATTGATTGAAATGAGCTTACTAATTAAAGTTATACTTTTTTCTAAAAATAGTTTTGGTTAAAATAATAGTACCATTAAAAACTGAGTATTATTGTGCTCAAGTTGTAGTCAGAAAATAAGTTTTCCTTTGTTTTAAGCAATTTTTAAAGTGAGCGTGTGGGCTGACAAATCAAATAGTGTTTTTGTGGCTGATTTCTCGTTTTAAGCGATCCTCTTTATATATAAAATGAAAAAAAAATACAATGGGACAATTATTCAATGAAATTAATTGCCCATGGCTGGGAAAAGATTTACAAAAAAAATATAATCTCAAAAAAATTTTTTAGAATAACATAGTATTTATTATAAAAAGGCGAATACGACCTTTTATGTATCAGGTAAAAGGCCCTGTAATTATTTAGTTTTAATATTTATGTTTTGTTTTAAAATAAATAAACTTACCTAGAAGTTTTTAAAACTAAATAATCACAGGATGTTTTGCCCTTACACATAAAAGTGCATTTTTCTTCACCCAAAATTAGCTAATTACAAATAAATTAGTTTTATTGATTGCGTCATAGACTTAATCAATAAAACTAATTTATTTTTATATTCTATTGTTTTCAATTTTTATTTGTAAAGTTGTAAACTTTTCTACTATTACTGACAAAACCTTTTAAAAATTTATAACTTGATTAAAACCAGTTATTTGTTTAAATATCTTAATATATAAAACAATGTTATATAAAACAATAATAACCAAATGCATAGAGGACGTGACTTATGGACATTTTACCCCACCCTATCCTAAACGTGAAATGAAAAAATTAATATAATATATATATATATATATATATATATATATATATATATATATATATATATATATATATATATATATATATATATATATATATATAAATGCCCATATAAATGCCATCAACACTAAAATATCTAAATGTATTGGTATACTTTTTAAAGCTAGACCATATGCCAACATTGCTTGGGGAAACATACACAAGACAAAGTTAATGTCTCTTTATCAACGACAAAAACATGCCTCTAAAATAATAAATCATAAGAACAAACTGTTCTTTATATAATTTATTTTTAGGTTCTCGATGATAAGACTAATCTCAGTCTTCTATGAGTTTCCTACAACAGCCAAAACTCTTATCATATTTAATTATTGCTTCCTATGCACATTGGGCCAGATAGTAAACAAAACTGTTTTTCAAAATGTAAAAATATAAAAAAAAAAAATTTCATATATTGTTGCAAATCTCTAACTAACTAAATTAAAATTATATTACGCTGATTTTTTTTTTTTACATCACTTTAGGTTTAGAAGCGCATTAATTGCATCGCTGTTGTTTTTATGTTGAAAATTGTAATTTTTTTATGTGTTTTTTAAATCTGATACATTTTACTTTTACAATATTTAATTTAAATAATTCTTGTAAATCTTCATTAGTACATCATTAATTTAAAGTTTGATGCAAATATTAATTTAACGATATATTTGTTAAAGTTGGCATACGGTAATTTATATTGTATAGGGGAAAGGCGCCTACTGAATAATGAAGGTATTATCATTATTCAGTATCCTGAAGACCAAGAATAAAACTTTTTTTAATATAATAAAAAAAGTAAAAAAAAATTTTAAAAATTGATCAACCATTCCAAAACGGTGGAGATTCTTTTAACTTTAAATTTTTTAGATAAATAGTTCAAATGTCATTAATGATTTCTCATTAAGTACTCAAGTATGTGGCTTTATTTCGCTTTAGGCACTAGAGCTCTATAAGTTAAACAAGCGTTGAAAATATTAGGAAGAAAGTTCAAATAGATCTTCCAAAATCTATGTTTTCGTTAACCTACAACAAGATTTCGAAAAACTAAGAAAACAATACAAAAAAAAAAAAAAATCAAAAGTTTCCAAGTTGGTTTGATTCATCTCCTTCTAGTTCTTTTTCTTTGTTTAAATTTTCATAATACAAAGTGTGTGTTCTTTGATTAAACCTATAACTGTTTTTATTCCAAAAGACCATTTAATTTGATCAAAAAGTCATACAAGTCCAGATTTGCCATCATCAAAACTTATTATTGCAGATGCAAGTCCAATTTCTAAAGTGGTTTTTGAATCGATGATCTTTTCCACACAATTTGTTTCAAAGCCTCATTTGAGTTTTGAGTGGATCCATCTAAACAGCGACTCAAAAGATCATCTCTACGTAAATCCTTAAAAATTGGATTGATTGCAGTTTTCACTTTAATTGGTAAATTAACTGATGATTAATACCGCTTGATGTTTTTTCCAGTAATTAAGCCAACTATTATTAGCGTGGGGACAAAACTGGGGATGAACTCCAGGATCTTTAATATCTGCCCAGTGCTACAATACTGCCAATACTCCTTTTTTCATCATGTACAAAGCAGTACTTTTGTTACCATTCCAAAGTAAAAGAGAATTTTGGCAAATAACCATGCCAAAATAGTTCTGCATTTTGTTAACAATATTATTAGTTAATCTTCCCTTTGCGCTAAGTCCTTTGCCATCTGATAAGGTTTTACCTTTTATGCCAACACGAAGTTTGCCGAGCCGTGTGTTTATGTTAGATTTTATACTATTTGATATAACTTTTTAAAGTTATTAGACATTTATGTATATACGACATTTTGTATATGTGCAATTTTTTTATATATTTTGTTTACAATTTTCTTAGTTTGAAATTTTGTTAAACTAGCTGATGTAAAACAGTCTCTAATTGCAATACTCTGTCAATAATCCAAGCAGTTCATACCCAGTGGTATGGACTGTTTGGATTATTGACTCCACCCGACGTCAATTCGACGTCGGATTTATGTTGGATTTTTATAAGAGACGTCTTCAGACCTATTTCGACGTTGTTCCAATGTCAGTAAAACGACGCCGGGGCGACGTCATTACCTCGACATCCCCCGACGTCGTTTTGATGTCTTTTAACGTTGTTCCAACGTCATGTCAAAGACATCCGAACAATGTTGTGGTGTTTACGTTGTTTCAATGTTCATAAAAAAACGTCGGGATATCAACGTCATTCGATGTCCCTTGACATCTTCCAACATCGATCTACGTTAAAATTATTATGCCGGGGTTTGATTGCTGCCTAATGAAACTTTTTTTAGTTTATAAAAAACACGTTGGATTAACATAGGAATGCCGACGTCGCACGATGTCAGTTTATCCGACGTCAAATAACATTTCAATTTGCAACGTAAACCCAACGTCGAACCGACGTCGAAACCCGACGTCGAAATGCCCACTGGGATCTCTCCTAATGAGTTACAATCATACAAACAAGGGGCGTCTGATAAATTTAATATATAAAATAATTATAATAATAACAACTTATATTTTTATTATTATAATTAGATAAATATTGTTCTTATTTTTATTCTTAATTTTTTCGTTAATGTTTTCTTTTGGAAACAAAGTTTGATTTTATATAAAAATAAGAGTAAAAAATTGAAAACCAGACTTCTATAAAATACTCATCAAGTTTTTTTTGTTTAAGCGTATTCCAAACAACTTTACCTAAAAAAACTACTTAAATATAGGCAGAAGTTGGTTCTAACTTTCAAAGATTTCGTAGAATTATTCAAGCTATTGAATATAATATTAGCTATAAAATAATACAAGCTAGAAAATCATTACTAAAAATTAGCTTCTAAATGCTAATTTGTTTTTTTTTATACTTATATATAATGATAATTATTTATAATGATAAATCTTTGATTTAGGATTTGATTTAAAACTAAACGAATAATAGCAAATATAAAAGTTTATTATTTGTTTTTGAAAGATTTTATAGTTATATAAAAATTTATCTATCAAAATTCACGCTTCAAGTTTTACCTATTACAAATGTTTGCTTAAAAAAATTATTTTCTTTGATAATATTTGTTCTTACAATAAAAATGCGTATGAAAAGTTGTTTATAATCTAGTTTTGTAATTCATTTCTTAGAAAGTTGTTAATTCATAACCAATATAATAAACATCTGATCAGCAAAGTAAACAAAAACAATAGAGTAAAATTTGTACTTCTTCATTCAGTTTGAGCGTTGAGCATTTTACTGTTATTTTGCTTCTTAGTAAGAAACATTTATGCAAGTAAAAAATAGACATTACTTTTTGTTAAGTCAATCTTTTACGTCAGCATTTAAATCAATTCAGACATTTAATTAAGTTGAGATTTTTATTAATATCTTTAATAATAAATATTTTTATTATTTAAAATTAAAATATAAAAAATTGAATTATGCTACATACGGACATAATAATACAGTTTTGTTACATTGTGACATTAATCAACTAATTATTTTTGTGTTTAACGAAGACAAAAAAGTAAAATTTAGTATCGAATAAATGATGCACTTTATTATGTAATTAGATACTAAACTAATTTATGTAAGTAATATTGACTTGAGTTTTAAAGTTGAAACTATTTTTTTATTTAATGCTATTTTTTATCACCAAATAGATTTGTGTGGAAAAACATGAAAGAGAACCTCCCAGATTATTGACTTTTCTAAGAATAACTAACGGAAACATCAAAATATGCTTTTTTTTGCTTTGTTTATTTGTAAAAAAAAAAAAAAGGTAACTTAATTACACAGACAGTTTGTTTAAAAACTTCATTGGTGTCAATTAATAATTTTTCATTTTAAAGGTAAATTAATTTACATTCGTTTTATTAAAATTTTGTCTCAGTAATAAAAATATACTACGTTACATATATTGATTATATTAGAATTGAACAATAGTCATATTAAGAAAAGAAAATAGAAGATGTTTATATTTATTGTCACTTCATTGTGTGTGAAAATGCACTTCATAAAGTACATAAAATCTCAAAGGATTTGGTTATAAATTTTTCTTATAAAATTATCTCAAAGTTTAGAAAACAACATAGTTAATTGCTTTGTTAATGGTGTAGAGATTTTTATTTGATTACGCAGATTTTTTTTCATTTGATACATTTTTTTAATTATGCAGAAATTTATTTTGTTTATGCAAAGTTTATTTCCCCCCCCCCCCCCCCTATATTTTGCAGAAGTTTGATTAGAAGCAAAGCTAACATTTTTTAAGTATGCTCTTTCTCAACTCAATAATAAACAAAGTATTTATTTACTCAAATTTTATATAAGGTTTTTAAAAAAACTATTTATTGACCCTTTGATATGGAGAGGTTAGCAAAGCAAAGTGAAGTAAAAACAGATTAAGGAGTGTTTTCTGTGTGAAATACGAGTGCAATACCAATACTCTATACCTGGAAACTTTATTGCAATATGTCGTAAAATGAAATATTGTATTTCCATACTAGTATCAAATGAGTATGCATTAAAAATGCAAATATATATATATATATATATATATATATATATATATATATATATATATATATATATATATATATATATATATATATATATATATATATATATATATATATATATATATATATATATATATATATATATATATATATATATATATATATATATATATATATATATATATATATATATATATATATATATATATATATATATATATATATATATATATATATATATATATATAGAGAGAGAGAGAGAGAGAAATTTAGATGTATATGTATGTTTACTTATTTTCAGTTTATATTTTTAGGTTTCTAACAAGAAAAGTAATAATAATTCAATACAAAAAAAAAAAAAAATGAATAAATTAGAAGATGATACAGACAGAAACAATCCTAAGAAATCCTTAAGCTTGCGTTCAAAGACATACAAAAATTTACTAGTTATAAGTCTAGGATTTCTTTTTCTTTTTACCGCATTTCAAGCATTACAAAATCTTCAAAGCAGTATACATAATGATAAAAATCTTGGATTTGTCTCATTAATTGCAATCTATGCTTCGCTTCTAACATCATGCATGTTTGTACCCCCTATAGTGATTGGTAAACTTGGATGCAAGTACACTGTAGTGCTATCGATGTTTGGATATGTTTCTTATACACTGTCTATGTTTTATCCAAGGTTTTGGACAGTTGTTCCTGCATCAATACTATTAGGTAATTTTTTTCTCTAAAAGTTACATTTTTTATGATACCAGTTTGTATTATTATTATACCAGTTTATAGAGAGAAATAATCTTTAAGAAAAATCTTAAAAAAAGATACTAAAAAATTTATAAATTAGTATACGTGCGTGTGTGCATGTTTGAAAACCGTCCTTGAGTACATTGAGTTTTTAATAAAGTCAATAAAACTAGTAAGTTCGACGCCGGCTCTACCTTATTAAGCGACATTATTTAGGTAGAAGACGTTAAATTCATTGTTAAATGCTCTTACGCGGTGCTCTGTAAGACCGTAAGGACTAAAAAAATATTTATTTACCTAGATGACTTATAACTTCATTTTTTATAAAACCATATGTAGGATTTTCTGGAGCTCCATTGTGGTCAGCAAAGTGCTCCTACTTGACTTCTTCCGGAATCAGATATGGAAAAGCTATAAATGTTTCCGAAGATACCGTAGTTACCAACTTTTTTGGAATATTTTTTCTTATATTTCAAAGTGGACAGATTTGGGGAAATCTTATATCTTCTTTAGTCCTGAAACCGTCAGGTAAGTTTGTTAATGAAAATTTATTTACATTTATTTGCGTTTGTCATACAATTTATGTGCTTATTGTTTTATGAAAAAGAAGTAAATGTTAGCTCAATAAAAAAAATAAAATTTCTTTAATGTAAGAGAAAAATACTTTTATGTTTGAGTTTACCTAGGATAGTTTAAATCAGTCTTGCATTTCTAAAAAGCGAACAAAAATGTTTTGTATGAATAGTGTTTTCTTTAGTCTTTCTAAATATTTTTTGTATTAAAAGCCACAGTCAATTTTGAAGCGGAACTCTTTGATTTGTGCAAACGATTCATGCTCTATTGAACACTGTGTTTCTGGAATTTTTATAATTCGCATTATAGACGTTTAAAGCATTATTATATATCTTGAAGTAAATATTCCAAGATAAAAACTTATTTCTTGTCAAAAATGTAACTTTATAATTATTTACCTTGTATTATATACAGCGGGTGATTATTAAATAAAATATATATAATATTTAGGAAGACAAAAAAAAGAATACATGAATCAATAACAAGTTCTGTTGTTTAAAAATATATCCTCATGCGCAACATGTTTATGCAATCTATGCAATTTATTGCAACATGTGCCAATTATTTAATAAATTGTACAAGTTATGATAAATTTTTCAAAAAACCTTAACAGTTGTAATTTAGACTTTAGAAATAAAGTCGACGCATAGTGATAAGGAATAACTTAAAATTAGGAAATAAATAACCTAGTTTTTTTTTAGTTTCGTTTGTTTATTTTAGTTAACAATTATCTTTTAAAAAAAGAAAACATTTAATATTACTGAAATAGTTCGGTCATTTAAAAATGTATTTAACTAGACATATTACAAAAGTTACCATTTAGAAAATACTATTCACTTTTTAGTAGTTTACACAAGTTTTGAGAGTTTTCATTGAAGCAAAACAATTTATCGACTAGTCAAAGCAATGTTTTCAGCAAGCTCACTCTCAATAGAAATTAATGTTAATCCAGAAAGACGTTCGTTTGTCATTGTTGATCCAAAATTTTTTATAATCTTTAGTACTGAAACTTTTTTCAGCATTAGTAGATTTAACAAAAAGAGTCAAGTAGATTTTGTAAAGTATAGACAAGTTAGGAATACCGGATGCCATCTCTTTCTCAATCAAAAACTGAAGTACATCTTTTAATTGTATGTCAGTTGTCAGTGATGGGAATATCATTGCATACACATCATTGAAAGTCTCATACTCTACGACTGTAGACAGTAGCTTCTTCAGTACTTACGTCGTTAACATAAATTTTTAAATGAGTTTATATTTTCTTTAAATAATTTTGACGGATCAAAGCAATCAAAATGTGTAACTCAAAATGTAACATGATGTTAGGCTAACTGAATTTAAAGAAAGACGAGTTTTCTTTAAATTTAGTTTCTACATCTAGTTCGGCAAATTTTTCACTAATAAATGGTTTGTCTGCTAAATGTAAAACTTCAGAAGCTTTATCGTTTCTCATCTCTACAAACTTTTTTTTGTAACATCAATCTCTGTTTTGCAAATAAAACATCTGTATCTTCTTGTTAAAAATAGTTAGATAACACTAAAAGATTAATTCACAACTTTAGCAAAAATAACATTAGAAAAATAAATGAATGTTTTTTTATTAAAGCTGATAGTTCATAGCTTCTGCTTTAACATTTCCTGTATGTTCTTTAGATTCTCCTAGATTTATATTTTCTAGAGTTGCTATAATAGCAGAAAAAGGTTCAACGTCAGCATCAACTGCATGCTTCCTAATTGCTCATCTTGCATCAAATTATAAATTCAAATTACTAATAAAAAAAATATTTTACATTAGAAATTTGAATTTATAATTTTTTTTTTATGTTTTGTTTGGCGCCGTTTGATCGTTCTAGGGAGCGGGAGGGCCTAATTCTAAATCTGCCACTATATAATATATAGTGGCAGATTTAGAATTAGGTTATAGGAATTAGGTTATTATACTGTAATTATATTATAGTAATAGTAATAGTAATACAAACTGCTGTAACGAGTATTATCGTGTATAATGTGTTAATAACTGTAACGAGTATTATTGTGGAGCATAAAGATTAAAATTTATACGTTAGCAGCCGTTAACAAATGCTTATCTAGTCTAGCTTTAAAAAAATTTACTGTCATTGCAGAAACCACTATTTCAAGTAAAGCACTCCAATGAGGTATCACTATGTTTGTAAATAAATGTCTCAGGGTTGTTTTTGTAAATTATCTTTCAAATTTCGTTGGATGACCTCTTATAGTTAAGAAAGATGCTTTATTAAGCTCTTTATACCACAATACCTTTTCAATCCCAGTTGTTAATTTAAAACACGCATTGAGATCACCTCTTGTACGTCTTCTTTCAAGAGTTGTGAGAACCAAAATTGACAATCTTTCAGTATAACTTAGGTCTTTTAATTCAGGTGCTAGCTTTGTTGATGATTCCATTTCATATTGGATGAAACTATTACACCTAAGTCTAGCTCTTTTGTTGTTATTTTTAGAAGAAAACATTGTATATATGTATATATAAATGAACGTTTAAATTCAGTACTTTTTTTTATACCGTTAGAATCATAAAAAAACTGTATTTAAGTTACGCTACTCAAAAAAATGTATTTTTGCCAAATTTTAAGTGTTCTTAAATCACTGTGCGACGCCCAAAATATGATTTTCCTTAATTAAACAGGTAGATTTAGAGTAAGTTTTTAAGATAAGTAACGTTCAGAAAAGGTGCAAACTAAAAAATTTTTAAATGTTATATCAGTTTCAAATAAGAATGTAAAAAAAAAATTTTTATGTTTAGAGCCTGGGACAGGTATTTAATTTCGAATTCTGGACCATTTGTCCCAAATGTGGTTTCTTAAAATAGATCAAAATTGATGGACATGGTAAAGATTTTATTGAAAAAAATTTTTGCCATTAAAAGATTATGAATATTATAGTTTATTATTCCTATTAGAATTATGGCAAAAAATTCTGAGGTAAAATATATTTCTGAGGTTGTTACGCTAAAAATTGCTGAAAAATCTTTTTAAGAGCAAAAAAAAATATGTTTGAAAAATACTAATTAAATGTGATTTTTTTAATTTTTTTAGTTTTATGTATTATTCTACGTTTCGTTGTGTTATGTGTTGTCTTTATTTATTTTTTTTTGCTTTAAAAATTTCAGTATTAATAAGTTCTTTAGTTTTTTATTCTGCCGAAAAAAAAACTAAGCCACAGAGTAAAGTTGGTTTAATTTTCATTAAAAAAAAAGTTCATTAGTAAAATACAAGAAAAAAGTGTAAAAAAACAACTACGTTTACATAAAAAGGTTTGAAATGCACAACTCATTTCTTTTAATGTATACGGTGTATGTCATTAACCGTTTACAATATTGACTTATGTTATTTAATATTGTAAGCGTTTAGTTAAGGTTTAATGTATATACTAAAAACAGGAGACTGAATAAATGCAAGTTTCATAAGTGCAAATTAGTATAATAGCGAAATAATTAAAAAAATAATTCAACGGAACTAAGGTTCCTTCGTTTCTAATGATAAATAACGAAACTAAAAAATAACAGCAAATCTTGTTGTTTGTTCCATATCAACATTGTTTGAAAGAAAATATAATATTATGAAAAGTTACAACAAAAAAGTTTATTGTATGCAAGCATAATTTATATGTTGACCTTGAAGGTTTTCTTATCTAACCCCTATTCTGATATATAGGTATAGACGCAGCGTATCGGAAATACATTTACTAACTTTGAATAAAAATATGCGCGGTTAGTGCACATACATCGACTGGTGGTTTGAGTTTAGTCATATATTGCAAATAAAAGGATAATTTTTTTAATTTTACGGACCTTATTTAAAGGGTCTAAATAGAAGTTTGACACAAGAGTTTGCCTGTTGAGTCTTATAGGTAAAGAGCCTCATCCAACATATAAATTTGAACAAATACTGCTCTCGTTTTTTTTTTTTTTGCATTTTTTCAATTTTATAACTCTTTTTTTTAACATTTAATGTAATTTAAGCTTGTAGATACCCCACAGACGTTTACAAGACGTCTATATAATATTTTTCATATTCTTACTAAATTTTTATTTATTTTACTATTATTGTAATGTACAGTGTTAACTTTAGGTGGTAAGTTTAACTCAACTGGAACCAATATTGGGGAGATATGCGGCAAAAACTTTTGTCCTCACACTTCTATTATTTCACATCAAGAAACAACAAAATCAACAGTAACAACACTCATGAGTATTTATCTGGGTTTTGGTATATTGGCAATAGCTTTTGTACTTATTTTCTTGGATAAAATAAAAGTTGTTCGTGAAGAAAAAAAACGAGGTGTTTGCGACTTGTTTATTGCCACACTTAAACATTTAAAAAATACTAAGATGCAGTTATTAATACCATTGACCATTTTTAGTGGACTTGAACAGGGATTTGTTTTTGGAGACTTTACCAAGGTAAAATTAGTTAGAAAAAAAAAATAAATAAAAAGTGTTTATAATTTAATTTTTTAAACCTTTTAATTTACAATTTTATTCTGACAACCATGGCCTACTTTATTTATACGGCCGGATATTTTACATTTTGAAGAAAAAAATAAAAGGCCAGTTTTTAAAATCGTAATTTTTCAAAAATTTAATGCGTTTTGAACATTTTCAATATTATTTTACTTTCTACATTTAAAAAGTCCACCAAAGTTGTATTTATTCATAATTTTAGATATTAAACGAACATTTATTAAGAAATAAATAGTGTTTATTTTAAAATTTAGTATTAGTAAAAACGATGTAAGAAACAAGAACAGTTATAAAAAATATTTAAATGTTTCTCTTTTTTCATTTAAAAATAAAATAATTATATATAATTTATTAAATTTTCTCAAATTTTCTCTTTTTAAAAAATTTTACATGATCAACAGCTACTTCACTGGTAGAGATAATTCTTTTATTATTAAGAAAAATGTTAACAAAAATTCTTCCAGCAAGTTTTATCCCAGTTTTCTCATGCATGGGACAAGAAAAAGTCTGAAAAGAGTCATAAAAGTGGTTTAACAAATATTCTAAAGCTTGTCGTGCATGTAAACTAAATTTCTTTATTTTTTTATAAAAGTAGTCAATCATAGCAAAGGATGTGCAAACTTACTCCAAAAGTGATGGTTAAGGAATAGTGAGACCACCCTTAAAAATAATTGTTAAATAAGTATGATCAGGATTGCTTTCATCAATATTGACACAACATAAAAATTCTTTACAACATGTACCAAAACGTTTTTTAAGTTTCTTTGCTATATAACCAGCAATATGAGCACCTACTTCCCTACTTTCTGGTGCAAGTGTCATGATTTCTGGAGTACACTGAGCTTCATCAATATCAAGAAGAAAGTTTTTCCAATCTGTTAAATTATTTTCTGACTCAGGCACTTTTAAACTATCATCGAAGTTAATACTTTCTTTAACTATACTTTTGATTTTTAATATTTTTTCAGAAATAGTGACATCTTTTAAACCTACCAAAAATCTTCCACCGCTCATTTGTCTATATTGTCCAAATCTCCTTTCTAATGGGTCACTTTGAAATCTCGCAGTTAAAACAAAGTGATATTCATCATTAAGCAAGTCCTCGATCAATGAGGCGTGACTATTAAGTGTTCTTATTAGTGCTGCAGCTGTCTAAACACTTAAAGTAAACTTCTCACAGTTTGGTATCTTTTGTGATTGCCAAACTTCAATCCAATGTGCCATTTCCCAAGAAATTCAGGTTTTTTATCACCAGAAACGACTGCATTACCTAAAATATTACATGCTGAATACTGACATTTAGAATTTGATAAAACCCACCACTTGTTAAATAATGTAAGAAAATCTGCACTACTTTTAAGATCTGGAAAATATGAGTGAATCGCTGCTGATGTAGTTTCATCAAAAATTGCAAGTGCTAAAGAAACATTTTGTTTAAAATTGCCAGGATGTAACACTTTCATTGTTAGTTTTGGTGCTTTACGCAAACCAGCATCAAGGGTGAGGTCTTTTTCATAAATATTGTGGAAGGTACTCCATTTAATTTCTCCCCCACATACAATTATAGGATCTTTAAATCCATTAAAGTTAAAATCTGGAAATAAAAATCTTTTGCAATTTAACAAATTATTTCTGATGTTTTTAATAAGATGTACAACATCAAAACAGAGGTAAACTTTTTTTTAGATTGTAAATAAAAAACAAATCTTCAGCTTGTTGATTCGATGCACAAAGGATTTTTTTAAAACAAGAAATATTAGCAGAATGGTTGTCACACACAATAACTCTAACATTAAATTCACATTCAGTTAAAATACGAAGACATTCAAAAATTTCTTCTTTCAACCATTCAGCATTAATTGTTTTTTCAGGAGACGTTTTGATGACATATGGAATGTTTTGTTTCAGGCCAACTATCATAAAACAAACTATTCCCTTATACATTTCTCCAGACTCATCACTACCAATCATCTCTCCAGCAAAATACTCCTCACATTTTTGTAAGTACATTTCATCAAAAATCAAGCAAAGGTCTTGAGATATCTAACCTTCTAATTTTAAACGTTTTGCACAACTTAGAGCATCAATATTTCCACTAGTTATTTTTTTAAGTAATGATAATGATGGTAAAGGCAATTCTTCACGCAAAAGTTGGTATGACTGCATAGAAGTATATCGTAATATCAGTGAATACCTTATAATATTGGCTGAATAAATAGGTTTTTTCATATATTTAATTTGCTGTAATTCAGTCAATACAGATGAAAATTGTTCGGCTTGTGATTTAATGTAGGTAGGAAAATTATGAAGCATACTTTTACAAGATAAACGACAATCTCTTCCTTGACAAAACCACTGAGGTAATGGCAGAGGTGAACCTCTGTAAAATAATTTAACATGCATCTCATTGTTTACACGAATGCACTCTGTAACCTCTGGAATAGATAAAGTACTATGACTCAATTTATAAAAAATTACATGATCATCATACTTCAAGAATGAAAAACCATCTGGAGCAAAACTTTCAGTAATATCGTTAAAGCTATTAATCAAATCATTCAATAAAAACTATTCATATTGATCTGGCTGAAATATTCTTTTAGGTGGTGATTTTCTTAATGAATTAGAAGATTTTATAAGTTGTAATGAACCTTCTTCAGTCAAATTTGTGCAGTCAAAAATAGTTGGAATAGGCTTTAAATTTTTTATTAATCTAAAACGTTGATTCTTATTACCTTTCTTATAATATTTTTTCAAAATGTTTGATGCATATAACGGAAGAATTAGTAGGTGTCCAATCTTTTCTATTTACAAATTTAATCCAATATTTTTTTAACTCTTCATTTTTTGGAAACGAAAATACTATTGTAGATACTTCACCATAATTATGATAATTTGAACGACAATTTACGACGCAACATTTCTTAACCATCTTTTTGAACTTCCAAAGCTGCTTTCTTAAAAACACTTTTCCAGAAAACTGGCCTTCTATTTTTTTCTTCAAAATGTAAAATATCCGGCCATATAAATAAAGTAGGCCATGTGACAACAAAGCTTTAAGAGTTATTAATTAATGAAGTGCAAATAGGAATAATTTTAAAAAAAAGAAGCATTTCAAAAACAAAAGATTTTAAAGTTTTTAATCAGACAACTTACAAATCCTTTTATAAATTTCATTAGTTTAAAAAATAATAAATATCAATTTGAAACATTTTTCTTTTAAGCTTTTAAATTTTTTTTTTTACAATTTTCTTTGTTTTCTGAAATATCCTAACTTAAATATTGATTTTTTAAAAGTAAATTAGTTTTAAAAAATAATTTTTTTTTTGTAAACTTTTTTTTTGTAAACAACTTCAATTTTTTTCAATCTTTAAGACGAATTAAGTTTGAAATTTTGAGATTTAATACTTTAAGATTTGAGAAAAACCAAGTTCGAGGTTCATCTCTTATTTTTGTTTATCAAGTACAAACCCTCCTGGTTCTAGAAAAATTATATTTTTATAAGTTAAAAAATTAAGCTCTACAAAGATTAAAGTCAATCAATAATCGTGAAGTTATTTTTTCTCAAAAAGGGATTAAATTAGTCAGGTGACTTTGTAAATCATTTTCAGATCAAAAAATTTTTTTTAATTTTTACCGAGATTAAAGTTTTAATATTTATAGAGATAAAAATTTTAATAATTACAGAAATAAAAATGGAATATTTACAGAGATAAAAAATTTCAATTTTTTCTGAGACATATTTTGACAAAATTACACAAACAATCTTTAGATGTCTTAGTCAGTTGCGTTATAACCTAAAATTTTTTATACCTTAGCTTTCACTATATAACATTTCAAATATTGCCTTTATTAGTGATTAGAGATGTGGAGCGTTTTTTTGGTTCTTGTTTTTTGGTCGTTTTTTTTGGAAAAAAAACATAGGGGTCCGTTTTTTTGTTTTTTTTGGGAAATAATCAAAAATTCATTGTTTAAGTTACTAAATTTAACTTTAATGGCAATATCTTAATTCATATTTTAATTTCTGATTTAAATAGGACAATAAATACTGAAAATTACTGAATTAATTTTTGCTTTGGTATATTAACATGGTTAAAGGTTATCACGGTTGAAGCAGTCCTGTATAAAAAGTATATTGACACAATAAAGATTTAGAATAGAATAGAAAAGGTGCTGTACACACTTGAGGTGTGTAGAGTCTTAATTACGTAGAATTAAGACTAAGACAGCCGATTACTAAAACTAGTGTTCAGAAACCGAAATAATTATCAATACTGTTTTTAAAAATGTTCAAATTATCTTTATCTAATATCCATTGTAGAAGAGAATTCCAATCATTTATAAGAAATGGTGACGAATTCTTGATTTTGTAAATTGTCTGCGTATTCTACAATTGTTACTTATACTAGATCGCTCCAGCTCAAAATTTAAAGAAGGGTGGTGAAAATTAACAATATCTTTCCCTTTTGACATCTTATACATTTGAATCAGATCACCTCTTCTTCTTCTATCAAACAAAGTTGACAATTCAAGTATCTTTAATCTTTCTTCATACGACTTCTCCCTTAAAGATTCAATTCTTGTAGCCCTGTGTTGCACGATTTCAAGATTGTCAATTACCTTTTTCCAAAATGGACTCCAAATTGTTGCTCCATATTCCAAATGGGGACGTACTAACAATTTGTATAGTAACTTTAATGAAAGTTCATCCAAATACTCAAAAGAGTTTTTGATCATGCCTAATTTTCTGTTCGCTTTACCTATAGCTGAATTAATATGATATTTCCACTCTAGATTATTTGAAATGAGAATCCCAAGATCATTTTCTATCATTGTTTCTGTTAAAACAGAGTTGTTCAATTTATATTCATATCTTGGATTCTTTTTGCCAATATACATGACTTTACATTTTGATTCATTAAATGTAATTAACCAATCTT